CAGTGGCGGCGGCGGTTCTTCCAATGATGCCATGACGCGCATAGAACAGCTCCAGTGCTTTCACGAGCGCCTTTCATTGTGCTGATCAAAAGTAGAGGAGGTATCTGAAACGACCTTCAAGTTCAGTTGTTTAAAAGCTGCAGGGAAGACACTAGTTGGTGAAGAGGTGAAGGTGCGAAGTGCAGAAGTGAGAGCAGGGCGAGGGGTGGCGTTCAACAAGTTTGAGTGAAGGGAGGAAGCTTGAGACCTGGAGTAGTCAGGGATTTCGAGATTTCTGAAGCTCTGAGAGTCAGAAGCATGCTTGCAGGGCTTTGCAAAAGGAATATCTCAGCTGGTGAGCAGAATTTGGGTTTCCGCCTCAAGCCCGAAGGCAGCAGCTATCAATCGACGCAAGCATGCAGCGGCCAAGCGTTTACGTTGGTGTGCCAGAGCCGAGCTCTGGCTACCTCTCCAAAGCCTCCCCACGCCATGCCTCTCCAGCCTATGCTGCTACTGAAATCGTGGAAGAGCAGCTGGTGACCAGCCATGAGAAGCCGGCCGTAAAAAAATCTGTGTGGTCTATGAAGCCAGAGGAGACGGTGCATCTGATACCTCTCATATTGGTGCTGAGCGGTCTCATTGTGAGCCTCCCAACGTTCTACAATGCATACCAGGGTGAGTTTGACTTCTGCACCGTTTGCTCTCTTACTCATCTGCAAGTAAGGAAATGTCTCTACAAAAATCTATGGGAGAAACATACAATTCCGCCTCTGTGAGAAACTCCTCTTTCCAAAGGTTAAGAGTGCTGCAATCGCTCAAGAGTCTGAGTTCCACTGCCTCTGGTGTGTGATGTGATTGTCCTTTCTACAAACAGCTGAAAGTACGTGGAGATCTGAAGCCCTTCGCAAAGGTCAATTGCTATCTGGAGTTTGTTTGGACTGTTTTAGTTCCACAGAATCTGAGTTGTCTCACATTCTGGAAACCATATTGCAACTCGTTCACTTTCTGCAGAGAAACCGAAATCCCTCTGGACCTCTGAAAACGTTTCAAACCATGCTGGGGTGCCATGTCTTCCTGACTCGTCCATCAGACAGAGTCATCTGACTTGGGAGCCTAAGAAAAGCTTGGCAGAGATTGTTGACTGGAAGCTTCTGCTTCAGATGAGAACCACTTTAACCTGAGCTCTGGGGTTGGTCCCATGTTAGTGGAATGAGCTTTGGAAGCCTGAGTATGCATGACATGGGGCACTTTTTGTGATTTCTGGATAGGATTGTCCTAGTTGACAGCAGCTGTTCCGATGAACTTGCTTCAAAGCCCTTTCATACTCACAGCTTGCCGTTTAGACTCATCTACAAGTTGGTGAAGTTAGTAAGGTCGATCTTCAGAAGCTTTTCATTCTGAGCTGACTGTCCGAATTCCACATAACGTGGCTAGATTGATGCTGACATACAGGACTATTTCGCTTTTGATTTTCTGCAGGCAGGGGCCACTCCTCGGCCCTACTTTGAAGCTCCCCAACCAAGCATGATTGACAGCTGGCCGTGAACCTTTTGAGATACTCAACAGATCTCACTGCGAATCGAAGACAAGCTGGCACCAGCTAGCTATTATGGTTAGGGAACACAATCTGAGCTCCAATGAGGTTCTGTCACACAGTACTCTGTGGTAGGACAGATTTGACACCAACTCCCAGGATTCACCTGCTAACAAATTGTATTTGTTTTTTTGACAGGCTTGCCCCTCAGCACGACACACCGCTTGGGAGGCTCTTCTGCAGTCCAGATGCAGAGCATGGCGTCAGGCGACTCCATTCTGATCCATCCTGAGCTGGGGCGCAGCGTCAGGGACGCTTCCTACGAGGCGCTGAAGCTCTCGGCGAGTCAGAAAGACTGGGAGGATGCGCAGCCGTCTGAGGAGGTGGTAGCCCTGCGGAAAGCGGAGAAAGAGCTCAAGAAGAGGAAAGTGAGGAGTGCAGGCCTCGGTGCAATTTTCAAGAGCGCAAAGACGGGGGATGCTGGCATCGAGAATGTTGTTCAGAAGGTTGGGGACGCTGTGTTTGAGACGGAGGAGAAGAGCGTCGCGGCGGGAGGGGAGAGAATTGCGGCAGCAATAAAGAAGATCGACCCGACCAAGAAGGACAAGAAAAAGGGTGGAAAGCAGGAAAAGAAGAAGAGCACAACTAAGGGGGAAGGAAAGAAGAAGGGGCAGAAGACAGCGGGAGAGGGGCGACCGGAGCATTGAGTTTGTAGACGGCCGGAAACAGAAGCGGACGACCGAAGACTTTTACTGACAGTATCAGTTGTCGTATCTGAACGGGTTGGATAACAAAAAATCTAACTAACGGATATTGTATGGGGTAAAGACGAATCTGCCTGTTGGATCCGAGCCTGGGCCAAAGGAGCTGCACTTAGTGAATGAAAGATTCTCTGCCAAGGCTGGGTGGGGTGTTCTGACTTGGAAGTATCTGTCACGGACATCCGACGCAGCCCTTTGACATAGAGATTCTGCTTTATAAATGCATGGGACGAAGAAAAGAAATGCCGCACGTAGCGAGGCCATCTACAGATACATAGAACCGGTAAGCTTACAATGGAGAATCTCAAAAAGCAGGCTGGCGGTAGAGTATGAGATGCACTTGTGCCCCCAATTGAAGCATAAAGTGGCAAGTAGTCAAAAGGAGGCCGATGCGTTCGTTGAGTCTCTGCCGCCTTCACGAAAGACAGAGTAACTGTATAGGTATGTACAAACATCGTATTAAATGACTGGAGCAAGTCGCACAGGATGCGCACAGGAATCGGTAGACACATACTGATTCTCGTGTAGTGAGACACAATAAGATCAATACAAGGACCAATATATGATTTAGACAGAACTGCCTATGAGTGATAATTGGCATGGGGGCCAGCCAGCTTAATTACCGGCCTTCTGATTGAGCCTGGTGTGCTAACTCTTAATCACCTCGGTGAGTAAGTTCGGACTGGCATCATGCGCCGACTCTCCAATCTTTACGCCAGCCCAAATCGATCGTCTGAAGATGCTATCATATATGCGCAATCCGTAGAATGTATCAGTTGCAAACGTCAAATGCAATATCGAATAGACTGACATCATTGAAAGAGTAAACAACGCTTGGTGCTAATTGAAGCTGCCGCAATAATGTGACAGGGCGCGGCACGCGCACTTGAGTGATCGTGCAGGTCTTGAGATCGTCAAATGACTCTGATGATCGAAGCAACATACGGAACTTAATTCCACCCATATATGCAGACCTTACACAGGAGCTAAGCTCAAGTTGTGCGCCACACCCGGCATGCCCATTTGTGCTCATTTGAGCTCAAGGATGTGCATCATGCATGTGATGCTGCTATTCTGGCATGCATGCATGTCCGTAATCCTTCATACTAAACGTTACGTAGATACCCCGGGCCCGGCCGGGCCTGCATTCTCACCTTGCTGCCGCACCGATATTGAATTATCTAGTTTCGAATGAAGCCAACCAAATCATCTTAGAAATGATACATACAGCCGCGTCGCTCTGAGGCGAGCATACCCAGCGGGGAGCGGGCAGATTCTGCATGAGTAGGCTCTAAGAAACCTCCCACGATGCACCGTTCGCCAACACCAGCATGGTGCATGAACGGCGAAATCAGATGTGAGTTGACAGATCGCTTTGAGTTACCATCGAAACTGCCAGGCGCTCGCAACAAGAGCTGTGCTTGGAAAGAGCAGCTTTTAAGGCTTGATTACGTAGGAACGTCCAGTCTAAGACTCATCAACGGCCCCGGCTCCCTTGTTGTGCTTCTTGGCGTATCTCTGATTTCTCAAGAACTTGGGGTCCATCTGCAGACAGCAAGAGTCAAAGGGTCAGTCGGCGTAAAACTTCTGAAAGGTGCGGCGACCGCGAAATCCTGTTTAATTGAACCTAGCATGATTTTAAGCACCAAATGTAGCCTGTTTGATTGCGTGCCTACTATCCAAGGAAAGAATAGCATCTCAGCGAATAGGGGAGAAAAATCACAGAAGGTCGGAGAGCTTTTCGAACTGAAAAAGACGTTGAGGGAGCGACTTGAATCCAACAAGAATCGCTCTCTGACACTAGCCTCAATTGAGACGCCCACAGACTATTGCAAGACTCGGTTCAGAGACCAGAACCGTAAGAAAATCCTGATATGACTGACATCCAGAAAAGCATTCAGAACAGTTTTAGCAATGAGTTGGAAAGATTCAAAGGCTGCTGCACCAACTGTGACTAGCAGACATACCAGACGACATCCATCAAATACACCTGAACCGAAGAAGCTCATGGCCTCCATGTATTCACAAAGCCAGTCTGTTGCTCCTTCGACTCTCTGTTCGCTCCTCTGAGCGGTAAGTCAACTTCAACAAGAAAGTCCAAAAACGTAGATAGCATTACTAATGCTCTGTAATTCTGTAGAACCTTAAAAAAAAAGCCACTACTATCCCAGAACTTGCAAGGACTTGCCCGCAAGCAATCTGTATATGAACCTTCAGAAAGGAGGAACGAGGTCCCACGCTTGTTCATCTAAAGTATCAGCAAACATAGGATGCCGGGCACTCTAAGTCCCAAGAGCACTTTTAGTAACATCATCCTGGAAAAAAGCTAGGCAATTCGAATTCCCTCGAAAGTTCAAAGCCCTCCCGACGGACTCCAAGCGAAGCTTCTTGACCTCCAAATGAGGCAAAGTAAACCTCTCAGAGACAAACGTACATCGGAGGTTTGCCAGGAACAACAAAGACATGTCACATCTGCTCGAAGGAACGAAAGGTGAAGCGCTTGAATGCCCACAGCGCTAGCTGCTTTCCAGACTCTATCGTACATGCTTTCTGATGACCTTTGGACCTGACTATAGCTGCCAACCTATGCGACAATCAGCCTCCAAGGTTAGCCACTTTGTTTGAGGGCACCTCCCTGGAACAGCGATAACAAGCATAGCGGACTCACGGCAGGCCCATACAATAGAGTGCCCCGTCCAGCGATCCGCGTATCCGAGCTACATAAGTCCGCAGTATTTGCCATTAAAGCGCGTCAACAAGTCATTGGTGCGCAACAGAGTGGGTGTGCTAGAGCTCCCGCAAAGCTGAAATTGGGCCTCTCGCATGCTCTCGAGCATGCTGGCAATCGAACATTCTGATGTCCCATTGTGGCCCCTAGAATCTCACGTAATTCCAAACTCGCACATTTCTGTCGCAAGCCCACATAACGTGCTGTGCGCCCCAAGGGCCGAGCGGAGGAAGGACACACCATCAAAATAACACCAAAAGCAGGAGTCTCAGCGACCCAACCCGAATCCAGGGATTGATGCGGATACCTTTTTTCGCAGGTCAAAGTTTGGAACAGGGACACATCCGCCAAAGATCAGCCACAAACTAGTACAAAAAAGAAATGGACCCATCTGATCCGGCACTTTGAGCGGGCGGTGTGCACAAGCGCTCATGCCGAAAATCCGGAAGAGACGATGCAAAGCTGGCGACTGCAAGGTAGAGGCTTACCCCCTTCGTCGAGATGTACTTTGTCCGCTTGGGCTTCTTGATCCCATTCTTATGCGCCTTGTATGACTGGTTGTGGGCTGTGTGATTCTTGGACTTGGCCATCTTTGCTGCTGCGCCAAGAAGGCCAAAACCCCGTCAATGACAAACGGCTGAGAGGGTATACATGCCCGCAGCTCATCCGTTCATTTTGCTGCCCCCAAGTTGATCCCAAACTGCCCCAACTTGCCAGGCCATCTCCACCATTACCACTCATTATCCTCAAAAGCCGCGACAAAAACATACATATCTCATCTCTTGGCCCATTAACTGATTAAATAGTTCAACAACCCCTGATTTCCACCTTACTTCCCAATGAGATGAGAAGCATAACTAACAAGAAAAAGAACCCGACTGCCCGTCAACTGGATACCACCCGCTTGCTTCACCAACACCGTTACCAAAGACACAAGAACCAGCAGGCTTCTGCAACCACAATCAGAATAGGCAAGCAGCAAGAATCCGTCTAAAGCATGGGCAGCCATCGGAGAACGCAAGCTGACGCCATGGCTCACCTGACAGACGCACCGACCGCCCGCAGCCCTAAGCTTCAGTCTGGAAAAGGGAGGAGGGAAGAGGGCGCGCCCTGTCCAAGTCCTTTGGAATCAGAAGTGCGCGACAAGAGTTGGCCTCGCGCGCCAGTCGTAGTCCAGTGCGCTGGAGAGAAGATCGGAGATGTGCGACTCAGCAGACCGCTTGCGCGGTTCTGCGCGGCGCCGCAAACTGCGTCGAAGTGAGACCGCCCTCCCTGCGGTTTCAAATGCATACGAATTGACGTATATTACCTAGGATTTGTTTACATACGAGTTCAGAAACTTAGAGAGAAGAAGGCTTATAAGGATCTAGGTAAGAAGATTAAGAAAAGTAGCCGGTGGTGTTACCGTGGCGTGGCTTTAGTACAAAGAACTCCACAAATAAGTAACATCCATGATGCTTTGTGATAACGAACCCACCCTAACCTCCATCCTAACCCGTCTCCAATGTTTTTGTATACCGGTAGGTAGGTAAATCACGTTCTAATTCAGGAACTCATATTCATATGAGTGTATCTCGACCGTGACTGGCGCGTGCATACCGCGGCCAATCCCTGGGCCTGGGCCTGGGCCTGGGCCTCTGCGCAATGAGGGCTCCGACTCGAAGCTCAGCTCATGTGCACTGAACTTCAAGAGTGATGGAAGACGTCTGACCCATTCTGAACGTCGTGCCACCTTCATTTCAAGACTCAAAAGCGAAGGCGATCTTGCAGAGGGCGTCACTTGCTTGCGCTCACTCATGAAGGTAGGCAGGCGTTTTATGGAAGAGCAAGAACCCACAGACCATCCTTAATCAAGAGTACTCGCATTTCCCTGAAGCATCTATAAAGTGCGACCACCAAGCGATCATGCAACGTCTCCTCTGGTTGCAATCTCCCTGAGACTCGGGTACTGCAATTGAGAACCAGGAATGGCGTGGTTTTACACAAACGATCCACCACTTCATCGGGACGCCCTCGAGACGGCCACCCCTCGCGTGGTTTCCTTTCTGGGCGCTGCGACGGAGATAGTCTGTCTCCTGGGCTGCGAGGATTGGCTGGTGGGTAGGTCGCACGAATGCCAGCGGCCAGAGAGTATCTTGTCTCTGCCATGCGTGTCGTCAGCGGAGCCCATAGGAGATGATCTGGGCGCCATAAGCAGCCGGGAGATTGATGAGCGGGTGCGGGGGCTGGTGGAGCGGGGCTTGGCGCGATACAAGATCGATGCGGAGATGCTGCGGGATCTGCAACCGGACGTAATCTTGACGCAGGACCAGTGCAGGTGGGATTGCGAAAACAAGTCTCTGAGGAGTTGAATCCCACACATAATATTGTTTTCATATTTCAAAGTCTTCATGTGATCTCTAACAATTATACTTTTATGTTCAAAGTACCTATTCAACAGACGTTCTATGTTCTGTTTGTCTTTTCGGTCTTGTCAGTGTCCAGATTTGGGGCGGACTAATAGTATCTTTCGGGCTGCAGGAATTGCTGAGAGTCACATCTGACATGTGTGAAAATCGTTCAGGGTGAAAACTCAAATGGCCAGGCACTGTGCATTTCCAAGGGATTTTTTTGGTGGCCAGGTTCAAGAGCTGTTGGGCTGAGGTTTACGGTTTTCAGCGATATCTAGTGAAGTGATCTCGCTTAGAAGAAGCATGCGGTGGTGCATGCCTATAAAACTCCCTGCTCTAGAGCTCCAACTGAGAGATTTTATTTGGGGTTTTGAAATAGTTGAAAATTGTTCAAGTCTTCTTCAGTCTCGGGGGCCCGAAGTGGTGATTTCTGCGGTTTTGCACTATCGTATAAGAGAACCCGTTTCCTCTTGCTAGAAAGCGATACCGTGCATGGTGGCAATTGAAAAACTAGGATTCATTGGGCACCTCAAGACCTGCTATATGTGTGCCTCATCTAGTAGCAAAGCGTCCTGCCAGTTTGATCAATGCAACCACTTTCGCAATCAGTGTTTGTCATGGGGAGATTAGGGGGAGAGGATCTATGGCCAAGTTGAAGAAGTGAGAACAACTTCTCAAAAACGTTTTCGGTTAAAGCACATTCTGCAGCGCACTAACCCTCACACTGCACGATTGCCTTTGTGAGGAAAGTGTTCTAAGTGTGCTGCGTTCCTAGGTTTGGACTTGCCCTGAGCTTGTAAGGTGACCTGTAATGCAAATTGCAGTCGCTCATGTAGGTTTTTCAAAAGGTAGAATGGCTTACTCGCAGCTTGTGCAAGGAGCTTCTGGCTTTTTGGTTACATATAGGCTCGTGTCTTCCTGATGTGTTCTTGCTCAGCCTCTTAATATTCCTCCCACGTCAGTATTGTATTGTTGCACCGCAGTTCCCAAAAACAGTCAAGAAGTTCCTGATAATTGGTGCTGCTGAAAGGGACCTTCTTATGGCTTCCTATATCCCCCGTATTAGTGGGTAGCATTCTTTACACATATTGGCCGTATCTCACGTGCCGTCCACATGACGACGGAGGTTTGAGTTCTTTATCTGGAAAAAGTGCCCCCTTTCGGCATTTGTCGACCTCAAATCCAGGCAATAGTCCTTGAAGGCGTGAAAGCAGATTTTGGTTTGGCTTGGCTCATTGCAATTCTTATTTTGAATGCTTGCGTGCAGTCATGTTCACAAGCCCTTGAATTGAAGCATTCAACCGCAGTCCTTCTTGCTACTAACCCAAGAAGTCCACTGAATCCCTTTCTATATTAGTCTTTGCACTTGGCTTGGATTTCATTCTTAACACGCTTCTTGTAGTCAGGCCTTTAGTTCATCCACTCAGTCGAATCCCCAGCGATTTTGGCAACTCACCAAGCCAAGCCTCTCAATGAACTCCAACCACCTCTTTCCATTCTTAGCCACATCCAACTATCACTGACCCTTGTTAGCGTCTCTGACCATCTCCCTTTTGTCCGAATCTCATCCCTGACTATCTCTACCCCTCTGCGTCTCTCTTTGCCCCATTGACCATATCTGCTTGTCTTTCATGTTCCTAACCCTCAACCACTTTTGTTCAGGTATGACCATGATCTAACTATCTTCAAAGCATATGTGATCACGGCTAACCGTTCATGCTAACCGCATTCGCGCCACCTGTCCGCAGCGTGTGTGCCGTCACCCCCCAAGACCTGGAGTCCGCCTGTTCCCGCTTCTTCCATGAGGACCAGAAGCCGTGCAAGGTCGTGTCGCTCCGCCCCACCACGGTGAGCTCCTGCGCCTTAACTTTTCCTTTCCCTTTCTGCTTTTTTCCTCAAACGGTAGTTTGCCATCCTTGTCGCTTTACCGCTTGAAGTCTGGGTTTGGATCCTGCGGAAGATAAGGGTGCCCTCTCCGCTGTAGTAACCGCTGTCCACCTCTGCATCTCTATTTTTCTTTTGAAGTTGTGTAAGTACGAGCAAACAAGGTGAGTCGCTATTGGTTTTCAAAAGCACAATTGTTGTGTTGCCAAGAGCGGCTCGGTTCGGACTAATAAGTAGATAGGAATGTCCTCGATCATGTCCTTGTTTTCAGGAAGAGCAGGCTGTTGAGCGTTAACCGGTCTTAAGCATCTTTGATATTTAAATGCTTGCAAAGGGCTCTGGACGAAGCAACGTTGCGCCCCTCAGCGAAGTGACTCAACAGCAGTGGCCCGCGAGGGTGGCTATGACGACCCTTGCGATTGGGGCGCTTTTACGTCCCAATCTTGTGTCGCTCCTTTCAGACCAGCCACTCACCTTGGTCAGCATGTTCGCATCTTTTTCTGTCGCCTCAAGCGTTCGGCTGGGCGCCGTATTGGAAAAACATGGACTTTTATGAACGGCTTCTCACGCAAGTCGCCGTGTGCCTTTTGAGGTGCACGAGTGCTATCTTCTGTCCTAAGCATTTCTCTACCCCGTATGTCGCATGTCACGGGATGCTCTCGGGGCCAGACTCGAAAGGTTTTTTTGGGTGCACCCTAATGCCTAAGGCTAGGTTTAAAAAAGAGTTGCATCTTGCCCTTCCACTGCCGGAGTGGTACCGAATGGTTCGACAACTCATGGAGAAGCTTGACACTAAGGCGGTTCGTTGTGAAGGGCTGTGAGATTGTGAGACTTTGTGGTGTCAGCATACACGTTCTTGCGTGCAGTCCTCGCCCAGTGACGGCTGTGTTGTCAAATGCTTGCCGCTTTGTCAAGAGCGTTGCTTGTCGATCCTTCCATTACTGTGCGAAGTTGCGCTGTGTTCTGACGCTACCTTCTTTGTTTGAGCGCTAATTGGTTGTTAGACAGGCTTTCAGAACGCCATCTTCGGTTGGCTGTGAAGAATGTGAAGCTGAGCCGGGTATTGACGCTCAGACCAGGACCCTCCAGAGAGCCGCCCTTTCTTGCCTCTATTCCGCAGGCAACAATGGCCGTTGCTGTTCTGGTTTCCTCGCTCCCCCCCACTTGGCTCATTGTTGCATTTTCTTACAAGCGCGACCAGTTGGACAATCCTGATCCTAGGATCGTCCAAAGTGCTGAGGTTCTCTTTATCTGCTTCTAAGCTTAAATTTGTCTGTGATGCCCGTTTTTGAATGCATTGCACCTTGCTTACAGTCAGCCGTTTGTAACCGCCAGTTGTTCATGTGTCGCTTGTGCGGATTGTCATCCCGTTATCAGGGGCACCTTTTTACTCAGAAGCAATCCAAGTTGCTTATTGATGGCTTGGATGCAGCTTTCAAAGCTGGGCTCGACTGCCCAAGGATACAGAGATGCTGATGCCACGTGTCGATCCCTTCCTTCGATCGTTAATCAGTACAACTTGAACGCCCAAAAGCTGAGATTCTTACTCGGGTTGAGGAGTAGTGGCACCTCGATCTGCGCGATTTCGTTCAACAATATCAAAGCTCATCTAAGCTACTTCCAACTCAAGACCCTTCACAAAGCGGCTCAAAAGGTTCATAGCTCGTTCCTTCCCTTCTTTGAGGTCTCTTCGCGAAACAATTTGGTGTTGAAAGTGTGCATGAATGAAGTGCGCACTTTCTCGGACTGAAGAATAGGAAAGCGTCGTAGGTTGCTCCGGCCCCAAAGAACTAGGCACTGTGTGCAGTCCATTGATTGGTCTTGTCAATCTGTCTGCTCAAGGCCGAAATGGCGTCTGTGGCATTCATAGCGTGCCAGTCTTGCGAGTGAGCCCTTCCTGACGCTTATGCCATGAAGTCCTTTCTTAAAAGCGTGTTCGTGTATGTGGTAGTACATCATTGCATCAGCAAAGAGCGGTTTGGCTATGACGACGCAGGATGAGCGGAGCAACATTCGTGCTAGCTCATCCACGCTATTTTGCCCGAATGCCATCCGACCAAGCGAATGAGAAGGCAGATTATCTGCCAACGAAAAGCCCATTTTGAGCTCCAAGTGCATTGCCTTCTCATGCTCTTCTCCTTTCAGCAAGACTGCTTGCAAAAGCCGCCTTTATTTGGACACTCCTTTCCTTTCGCTTTTGGTCTCATCCGGATCCGTTCATCCTTTCAAAGCGCCAGGCGGACCAACAGTCCAACTGGCTGTGAAAGAGCTTCTGTTCTTCTGCGTTCCTCACGGGAAAGCGGGTCAAGAGAGTCATAAGGGCGGCAAGCTCGTACGTTGTCTGTAGAGTGGGCAATGAAGCAGACCAAAATGAAGCGCACTGCTTAGTGATTTCAATGGTAATTTTTTGTTGGATGCCATAGCGTTGCTTAAACCCTATGATTGGGCCGGTTGTGGCTAATGACTTTCTCGTGCTTTGAGATGATGGGGCAATCTGTCGTCAACCGTGCTGTTGTTCCTTCTTTTAGGACGATTTCCAACTGTTAAAGAGTCATCCCGGTAGAATGTAGGGTCCTTATTTTGCGCTTCTTAGGAGCTTTTTTTGTACGATCCCATTGCGACTGAGATTTTTTCCTTGGAAGACGGCTAGACCCAGTCAGCATGTCATGACGTTGGCGACTTTCGCTGTGTTCGATACTCTTCCTCAACCCACTGCGCAGCGTTGCAAGAAGCTGCGTCGTAACGTAGGGTACCTTCCTCTCGTCTGATCAGATTCCCACCTTCTGTTCTGCGCGATGCTCCGACGGGTGAAAGGACGAGCTAAATTGGTCTTAAATTTTACCGTTCCTTCTACAAAAAACCAGTCTTCGGACTGCTCTAATCATTCGTTGTTGGCACAAGTTTCAGCGCCGGCGATGATGCCAACGCGTGTTGGGTTATGATTAGCCCAGGGGGTTTTTGAGAAGCCATTGGCCGAAGCACCTGAATGATCGTGAGAAAAACTCTGACGCACATCGATCTTGGACGGAGTATGGTTGTGGCCCCGATGAAGCTGTAGTTTGGCTGCTGCTGCCACTTTTGAAGGTTTAAAGTGGCAGCAGGAACTTCAGCTTGATGCCACGGTTTCCGAGTGCACTTGGATCCGCCTGTTGGCACGTGACCCTAGAATCCGCCTCGATTCTACTTGATGGCTTCACGTTACCAACGCCGTAATTACTAGACAGGTGGCCGAAGGGGTTCGACACTGTTTACCAGAGGACACTTTTATCCAGAGGAAAGCTGCTCAGAACGTGGATTTGTCAGAAAGAGGGCATGTTTGGGGGCTGTGAAGTCGGTGGAATTGATCGCACTTTGGCGGTCAGTCGCCTAATGACGAACCCGATTGCCAACGTCAAAGCTGTCGAAGAAGGGCAAGGAAGGTCAGACAAGCAGTCATGTCGCTCGTCCTTTCACCTCCATATCAGCGTCGCAATCTGCGAGGCGCGATATGCGACAAAGCCGACTGGTGCTCTCAAACGGTTGGTGGGGGGCTGTGAAGACTGCTGGGCTGAGGTGGCGCAGAATTTGGCAGCTCATCGCCAGCGCTGCAGGGATGTCTGAGTGCCACTCGTCTTAACTTTTGGGTTTTGATTTGCAATCAAACTCTCCTCGCGGAGCTAGTAAGGAGTATTCGAGGATTGCGCGACGTTTCCAATCAGCAAAGTCAGCTCGCTTGACCGGCCTGCATAACCAAAGCTTAACGGTTTTCAGTACGACTGTCTGTAAGTAGTCTGCTTTCAGTTCGCTTGATTATCCCTTCGGTCCGGCAAGCGAGCAGGCACTCGCGTGGCCGACTCCTTCTTGAGTCATGAGTATCTCAGTCGAGTGGTTGCTGATGTTGGCAGTTGCGGTAACCTTCTTCCTTTTCTATCTTGTTTGCTCTGGGCGGTCATCTTCTTCCTTTTTCTATCTTATCTGCTCTGGGCAAACAGGACTATGTTCGTGCTTCGCTTCGTGCTCTCATCTTGTTGTGATAAGTACACAGAAATCCGCCCGCGTTTTTGTTCCGAACTCACATGTCGACAAAGTTGTACTGCTGTGTGGGCTTCAGAATCCACAACATCGTTATTTGAACCAGTCGACCGTTCTTGGTCGCAAATGCTCTGGCCTCTTGAGCCTTTTTGACTCGTACAAGGGCGAATCGTGCTGACGAGTGGAGGACATTGCTTTTGACACCCTCCATGAAGAGTCTGACTTATCAAAGCTGGTGCGTAGGATTAGAAGCTGCTTCGTGCGATTTAGAAACAAAAGAGCTTGCTGGCTGCCAAACATGTTGGACAAACTGTGGGATGGGATGCGATACCTGCTCTGGGTTTGAACTGCTCATCGGTGTCATTCTGAACTGATGCCCACCCCGGAGAGCCTTCAAGGTTTCTCAAGTAACCGTTATACACCCTCTACCACGAGATATCGTCTGCTTGGTGTTCGTGTCATGCAACAATCTCGGACCTTCGTTCTCTTGCTGAAAGAGTCTGTTTCAAGGTAGTATGCTTGTGAAAGAATTGTGTTCCTCACGTTTGCCTCTTTCTGCGCTCGGCCGGCAGCGAGTGATTTCTGGATATTCAGCGAGCCAACGATGGCATTGGGGATGCTCGTAGCACGGAAGGGTGCTTTCTGAAGTGCCATGGCCGCCAGGATCTGAGTGCTGAGGCGGATGCCATCCGTCGGCTGATTCGGCACGCTTTTGATCCAATGTGCTCCCAAGAAAGTTCTTTCTGCCACTGTGTTGCAAAGACGAAGTCTCTGTTTTTATCTGATTGGCAAAGACGAGACACCCAGTCTTGAGCACCTCGGTGGGGCCTCAGTGCACTTGTAGCGTCCTCTATGAGCCAATTTTTAGACACCATTATTGTCCTGCCTCGCTCTTTGGGTGATCCCTTTCGCGTTGGGTTCGTTTCTCTGAGCGCAAAAATGGCGATGATGGGCTTTTACATGGGCGGCGCCCAGATGTGGGCCTAGGTTGACGCCATCTTTCGAGAAAGAGGGTACGAACATGTGTCCACTCTCCATTCGTTGCCGACTGTACAGCGACACCTCTGTGCCACAGCACGTCTTTAAGTTTGTCTGTGAAAAGCAAGTTGAATACGTTCTTCATCAGTCGTTTACATATCCCAACCGTTAGGAACGAGAATGCGTCGACCAAGTTGCAGGATTTCGACCCTCTCGAGCATTTTCCATGTTTTCGTCTCGATCTGACATCTTCTGGACTATGAAGAGTTCATTTCGTAGGGTTTGGTTCTAAGGAGTCATTGCCAGATTTCAGCTCCTTGTTGTTCGCACGATGCACTATACATCATGCTGCACTCTTGTCAGCAACTGCACAAAAGTTGTTGCACGATCCAGAATTCCGAATGTTGAATCTTATGCAGTCTCCCGTTGTCAGTTTTGGTTAGGCTAGGACGAGGCTTCTCCTGAGGACTAGAACACCGGTCCTTATTCTTGGTAACCCTGAGGTCCCTCTGAGGCCAAATCTCGTTTGGGCACACGAGAGACTCCATGATCTGTTGCATGCTGATTCTGCGTTTCGACTGCACCTTTTCAGCGTCTACAAATGCATGAGAGCGCGGTCTCACACCAACGCCTGGCATGTCGCTCTGCGCGTGAGGTCATGTCTTTGTTGTGGATTGGCACAAAAGCTGCCCACTCTGCTTTCGCTGGCTTTTGAGAGGGAAAATTCTCACAACATCCAATCTTGCGGATGTCTTCACTTTTGGCAAGGGAGCAATGTTGGAATTCTGGTCCGTTGGTAGGTAAAGATGGTTCGTCCGCATTTTCTGCATTCTTATCACTTTCGACATGTGGTAGAGTCTTATGCTCAGTTTGGTAAACAAAAATTGCACGGTATAGTCTGACCCTCTCGCCAGCGCACTGGATGTGTTTCTGAAAAAAGTTAGTGGTCCTTTTAGTGTGTATCATGATGTCGGTAAGTCCACTATTATCAGGGCAGACTGGTAATGACAAAGTTTCTCTGAGAGTGCAATCTCAAAAATCATCCGTTGTCCGGACGCCAGTTACGCATGTCGTCAGAGGGGTTGTTGCAGTAGTGGTACAACGAACAGCTTGTGTCTCTTGCGTTGTCAGGACCGTTAGCAAATCTCGCCTGCAAGAAGAAGCTTTTCGTATGACCTGTCAGAGGGACGCCTTGAGAGTGCAACTGCCCTTTTCCGCTCTCCAATTTATCTGCGGCGATCGTTTGGATGATCTTTGCCACTGGATCCACCCATTCTCCCGGATCTGTGCTGGGGTTGAAGCGTTGCGCTTTCACAAGCCCTTAGGGGCAACGAACAGGCGCGCTACTTTGACAGGCGACTTTGACGGTCTATTCGGAATGAATGATGCAGGACGACGTGAGCAACCTGACCGGAATTCGGCGTTTGAGATTAGTGACCGAATGAGTTCTATGTCAATGCTTGTCGTTCTTGGCTGCCACATCGGGATTGTTGGAGGCTGGTGCCTTTAATGGCCGAGTTGCCCCTCTTCTCTCCCTCTTCTCCCACCCTGTATGGTGGGCTTTTCTGGGATTTTAGTAGAAGGACCGAATAACCTGCATGTTTCGTTGGTATAGATTGCACACATCGCTTAAATTAAAGTCATCTTCCCAATAACCACATATCTGGTATTCTAGCTACTGCTGAGTTCCTCGAGCAATTGCAGCCTTACTCCACCCCCCCCTTTTACAGCCCACGTTCTAATGAAGAGACGAGTCGGTGCAAAACAGGAACTGCTGCCTTGACCTTCCATTTTGCGGCCCTTTGCGTTCTGGAATCTAACCCACTGGTCTGGGTGAGACTTTGCCGAAAGCTTCTGATCCTGATGGCTCACTTTCGTGTTTTCAAAGGGTGCATATCGGTCTTATATTCCGAGTGGAGATTGTAGCTTTTGTCTGGTGCTTAGATACTGCCGTCAACTCTGTCTCGAGTCATTTGTGGCATTGGCGATGATCAGGACATATTGGGCATTGTACCGACCCACCAAATGTGGTCGTCTGCCCATGACGCCGTTGCTCTCATTGGCATCCTTTGCATGCTACCCTCTCGAAGTTCTGAGTGCCGCGCCGGTTTTGTGAGCTTGTAAGCTAACATCTCGTCTTTCTTTCGTCAGCTTCAAGATGCTCTAAGTTCTTGGCACGTTTTTTGAGTACAGAGATGTTCGGAATCACTTGTCTTGTTTGCAAGAGCGTCGAAAGAATGGTCAGTAACTCAGAGATCTTCTCGAACGCCGCTGGCACTTGACTTTCATGGTAATCAGCACCTGTGAGCATTGACATGTGGCCGATACATGTTGCTGATAAGCTTCGACGCTTCGGAACGGGTTCCTGCATGCTTGAACTTCCAAGTATGGGCATTATGCAAGCCTTTTTGCGCTTTGCTTTCCTTCCGATATTTACCGCCGGTTCTTCTGGGCTGTCGGCAGACGGCACGCTGGCTATGAGTAACGCTCTTTGAGATGCCCCTGTGCGCGTCCCAATGAAGCACGATTTCCCAAGATGGTATGTATCGCACCAAAGCCAGCTTGTCTTGCAACACTGCTCGGTAGGGAACTGCCATTGTCCATTTATTGTTAGGATCTAGAAGCGAGGTTGTGTTTGCGAATATTTGTGTGTCACGTAACACCGACTGTACACCCTCCGACATTCCGGAAGGGACAGAAGCGCGATCCTCCCTCTGGTCGAGTCCACGTGGCTGTGCCGGCTGCCAAAATCTCCTTCTGAGCAACTTCGATCACACATCCGTTCTCAACATACCGCAATGCTTGGCAAACTGCAGACCTTGTCCTCGTGGTTTCCAACTCAGGCCAAGAAAACATCCAATCCTTGGAGTCGTTCAGGCATCCGTCAAAGCCGCGTATTGATGCTTCGAACGTCCATCTTCTCTGCAGATGTCCGACGTTTGGGAGAACGTCCGGATCATCGCCGACGCCCTCAACGTGTCCGAAAAGGGCGAGGCGCTCATCAAGTCGCTCCGAGCGGAATGGGACTCGATCCGGCGGAACACCCCCCAGTACAGCGACGGAATGCCCCCCCTCAGCGTCGCCTGTCTCCAGTGGACCGACCCCCTGATCGGCGCCGGTTACTGGGTTCCCGAAATAGTTTCCTGCGCCGGGGGGGTAAATCTGCTGGGTGAAAAGGGGGGGGGCAGCCCGAAAGTGACGCTTGAAACCCTGGCGGAAGCCCAGCCAGAGGTTATCGTGGTTATGTGCTGCGGGTTAGGCCTTGACCGTGGGGTTAAGGACGTGGAGGCGCTGGAGAAACAGGCGGGCTGGGCGGGGTTAAGGGCGGTTAGGAACGGAAGGGTTTATGTCGTGAATGGGGACGAGTATTTCAACACGAGTTCGGCGGCGGCGGCGGTTGAGAGCGCGAGACTGATGGCGGAGATTTTGCACGGCGGCAGGTGGGATTCTGGGCGTCACTTTTTTGTATTGCAGAAATACTTGCTTGGCTGTTTCTTCCGGGCTTGGTTTGAGTCTGTTTCAGTGACTTGGTCGAGGTCACAAGCATTTGTATTGCGAGTCGATAGTGGAGGAGACTCTGCTTTTGAGTTGGGTGTTTTTGGGTTACTAGCTGCTCCGAAGCTGAGGATCTTGCCTATTTTGTCTCTCGTGGTTGATTCTTTTTCTTCGGAGGTTTGTGATAAGCAGGAGTTGACGTCGTTGGATTGTCCTCCCAATCTGACGTTCTTCGACGCTGTTTGATGTGGCTGTCAATCACTGCATTCGTCCGTTCAACATTTCCGTCCGGTCCGCCATTCCGATCTCAATTATCAGTGAGCTCCTGAACCCCTGAGTAGATCCCTGAATCCGTACTCTCTCTCAACACAGCGTGGTTTCTGTCAGGCCCACTACTAGCTGCTTTCAATAGTCGGTATTGTGGAAAAGCCGCCTCACTTGTGGAGTCAGGTCGGAAGCCAAGAAGAACGGCCACGAATTTGCGCAAGCAGAGTTGGCTGATATGCTTTTGGTCCTTCTCGGCCCTTGCTTCGTTCGTTCCTCAAGAACTCTTGCCGTAACCAGATGTGGAATGTGTCAACCCTCTTTCTATAATTCGTCGGAGACGGTGTTCCCGTTGCTCAGCCACCGGAGTTGTACTACGCTTTGGGTTTCTGCCATTGCCATCCAAGATCGAGTGAAGGCCGCCGATTCCTTCATAGTTGACATGTACTCCTCCTTTTTCCTAAAAGGTCGGGTCTCGAAGGCAGCGCCTACGTCAGGCGTCCCGCCATCTCTCCGCCAACCGACGTCAGCAGTGACGTCAGCGCAGTCCCTCGGCCCGCCGCGCACCCCAGGCGCCCCCCTCCCCTGCCCACGTGGCTCCAGGGTGCGGAGACCAGGTCGCAATCCAACGGCGGACATTTTTCGGGGGGGTCAGACTTGCACAGGGAGAAGGGGGGTGCGAACGGGCATGCGCATGTAGACAGTCCCCGAGCAGAGAGCCCAGTTTCCACTCCGGGGGGGTCCGGTTTCAGACTGTTTGAGAGTGCGGCTGGCACCCCCCCGTGGGGGGGTTCGCCGATGGGCTCGAGCCCCGGGGCAGCGAACCCCCCGGAAGAGCGGGAGGAGTTCTGGATGGGGAATGATAGCGACGAGGAAGGCTGGACGGGGAATCGGGACGTGGTTCTGGGGGGGTTCTCGGATTCGGACAGTGAGTCCGACGATGATTTTGAAAGCCTGGTCGAATTGCCACTTGCCGAAGCGAAGTGGTCTCTCGAGAGAGGGGGGAGGGAAGGAGAGGCGTTAAGCGAAGGTTCTGGCCTAACCCAGGGTCTGGTTCTCGACAGCGAGCTGGACGCTATTGCAGAAGGGGTGCGGAGGCGCGAGAGTGAGGAGCGGAGGGGTAACGTCAATGAGGCGGACGTGACGTCAGGTGAAGTGGGTAGTGCGCGCCAGGCGCAAACGGAGCCGGTTAGCAAACCAGCGGGGATGGGTTACGGTTCCCGTGCGAAAGCGCAGCCGCTGCCGGTGCCCAAAAGAGGCGAGTTCTCATTCGATACCAGCTCGGCGGGTCACCCTAACTACGATCTTAACCCGCCGCCGGAACCTAGAAGCTGGCAGGAGCCACGTGTCCTCTCGCCCGACTCGTTGAAGTCGTCGCCAACGCGATGGCCCTCGTCGCACCCCCCCACGTGGCCCGAAACCCCGAGGACACCGCAAACTCCCCCGAGCCTGGACGAGTTCGAAAAGCAGTTTCCATTTGACTTTGGCCGGGGCCGGAGGCAAACGGAAACGAACTCGACCAGGTTTGCAGACGAAGCGGGTTTTGGTGTCCGTGAAGAGAAGGAGTTTGGGTCGGAGAAGGAGGAACTCGGCAGGGGGAAAGAGTGGCTAAAGGACAGGTCAAACTCACTCAGCGACGATAGACCGGGGGTGCGCGGAGCAGAAAAAGTGCGCCCCCGGCTTGAAGTCGAAACGACAGGGCTGACCGTTTTCGAGGGGCCCCATTCCCCGCTGGAGAGCTCCGGTCCACATGCTGCAGGAAACAGCGGATCGCCGGAACTAGAGAGCGTCTCGTTAGAGTCTCCCAGAGACCGAGGCGAAAGGGGGGTGGAAACGGCGGGCAACAAGTCCCCCCTGGAGGGAGGCGGTGTCGAGCACTCGGCCTTCAAGCGCATCCATCTCGTAGGGCGGCCCCTCTCCCTCGACGTCAGCAAACGGCCCGACGCCGACGTCAGCCCGCCCCACGCTGACGTCATCACCCCCCCGGCGCGGCCCTCGACTCCCCCGCCAGTCTCGCCGCCCCCACCCGGCGAGCTGCTTTCGCCGATGGCATCTCGTCCTGGGTTTATGGCTAATCTGCTCGAAACCCAGACCCAAACTTCCCCCCCGCTGAGTCCCATTCCGGACTCCCCCTACGTCGCGCGCCTCCGCCCCCGAACCGCCCCTCCAAGCCCCCCAACTTTTCCATGCTGCCAAACCCGTCCGATCTGCCCGCGCTTATGGACCTCGGGAGCGTTCCCGCGCTCAAGACCCTGTCGCCCATTCGCACCGGGCGCCATTTCACACCGGTGCCGACGTCCCCGCCCTTCGCGCCGGCGGAGCTCCCGAGGGGGCTGCCGGTATTCCCGGCTCTGGATCTGTCGCGGGGGGGGGGGCAGTCTTCCCCTTCCCCCCCTAGCAGCCCTTCGCTGTCCCCCCTTTCCTCCCCGCTGGGAAACGGACGGTTACGGGAAAACGGTTACCGCCCCCCAAAATCGCCTAGCTCGCCGCAAGCTCTGGCCTCGCCTCGGTTCTCCCCTCTTTCTGTGCTGCCCTATCTCAGCTTGGACGCGTCCCTGGATCCGTGGTCAAACCCTAAAACGCTTGACCCGGCGGAGTTAGTGGAAGAAACCGGGTTAGAGCCGATGGAAACCCTGGGGGGAGAGTCGGGGTATGATAATGATATCAACAGCTTGGAGGATAGCATTCGGAGGAGTATGGACCGATGGATGTGGGGGGAGATCGGAATGGAGGGAGTCACGGCGGCCGCTGGTAAGGCCAGGTTTTCTGTCAAGGTTTCAGTCGGTGCTGATCTGGGGATTGTTTTCTGTATGAATGGAGTATTGCACATGTCGAGCTTCGCCGATATGTTAAAGAATTCAGACAGTCCGCGCTTCTTACCAGTGGAAGAATTGATTTTTGTCAAAATTCAAGGTATCTTGATCAGTCCAAGAAAAAATTGGGTTCTGGAATTATCTGGACCAGTCAGAAGGGTTCCGTGATCTCTGTTGACTGGAAGCACACCTGTAATTCTCGTCATGCAAGTGCTCGCCTTCTGTTACTGCGTGATTGACCTTCTGCTTAGTGAAAGCAAAGCTTGATTTTAAAGGCTTCATACTTCCAAGAAGGCCTACAGTTGCAAAAGTTTGCGGCTGTCAACGATAGATGGTAACTGCTTTGTTTCTAATGTTGCCTCTTCCTCCAACAGGGCTGGACAACGTCCAATCCACTGGCGCCGACTTCCCCTCTGAGGCAGGGCCCGTTTCGGACGCTGACCCTCGCACACCTGGCACCCCTGAGGGCGTCCGTACGGCTTCTGAGGGCGTTCGTACGAGTGCTGAAGGCGGCCGTTCAGTCTCGGACGACGTCCCTGGAGATGCGGAAGGCGTCCGTACGGCTTCTGTGGCCGTCCGTACTGGTCCGGAGGGCGTCCAATCGGCTTCTCAGGGCGGTCGTACGTCTGAGGAAAGCGTCCGAACAACTACGAAGGGCGTCCGAACGTCTTTTGAGGGCGTCCGAATGCGTCCGCTCACGGCCAAAGCGGAGGAGCTGAGAACCGTTTTGGAGGAGGCCGTCGAGGCGGCCCTGCCTGCGGACTGCATCATTCTGAGTGGGGGGCTGGACACGTGTGTACTAGCGGAGTTGGCAGCGGCGGGGGTGGGAAACGGAACGGACGGAAACGGAATGAATACGGACGGAACGGATGCGGACGGAATGGGTGAGGTCAAGGACGGTGGTGGCAGAGTGGACGAAGAGCAGTTATCTGGTACGGGAAACAATATGCCTATTAACGAGTATGGAGAACTCAATGATGACCCGCTTAAAAGGTTAGACGAGCATAAGCAAGCAGAGGTCCGCATACATATGCAGCAGCCGATAAGCAATAGCACGACCAGGCCCACTTCTATAAGCGCTCCCCGGGCAGACAGCGTTCTAATCACAGATCAGTCGCAGAGCTATGATAAACGCCCAGAGCATATAGATACGAGCAGCGCAAACGCCGCCAATCGTCAAACGACAGGTGAAATAAGCAGGGAAGGTCAGCAAAAGAGCGCAGAAACTGCGTCGAGAATAAAGGAAGCGCTTACGGTTCTTACGGGGGAGCATGCAACGGACCGGCGGTACGCGGAAGAGATTGCGAAGCGGTGCGGACTGCGCCATACGGTGGTGAGTGCAGCCTGAAGGCTTATGGATCCTGCTCTATGACAATGTCACATTCTTGAGGTTTTATCCATCCCGCTTCAGAATCTGATGCACAGATGCGAAACCGTATCAATCTTTCTCCACGAGGTCACAATCTCGAGATTCTACTCATCCCGCTTTCTCAGGATAGCATATATCATCAAGGTCTATCTCTCCTGCTCTATGGCAAAGGCAGATTCTTGAGATGGTTTTCATCCCGCTCTACCACGAATTTTCAGCCTTAAGAGTTCTATCATTTCGCTCTAGACCGACACGCGGCCTCCCAAGATGCTCGAGACGCGGAGCTGAATCTTCTGATGCGAAGTACAATAGTTCTAGCTTCCACGGGATCCTTCAATCTCATCACTACGAAGTGCCAAATTTTGTATTTTTCCATCCCGCTCTAGATCGAGACGCGGACGCCCGAGGCGCTCCTGGATTCGGAGCTGGAGTTTGTTGTGCAGACAATATTAACTCTAGCTACCACAGGCTCCGGCCACATAAAAGTTACGAGCTAAATTCTGCTGTTCTTTTTTATCCCGCTCTAGATCGAGACGCGGACGCCCGAGGCGCTCCTGGACCTGGAGCTGGAGTTCGTCGTCCGCACGCTGCGGACGTTCGACCCGATGGAGGTCCGCAACAGCATCGCAGTAGCGGCTGCGCTGCGGGAGGCACACAGACGCGGGCACACGAGCGCGATCACCGGAGACGGGGCCGATGAGCTGCTGGGGGGGTGAGTGAACTCCTGAGACTCCGCTCAGACTTAACGTCTCTTTCTAGATGAAATGTAAAGTTCACAAGAACGGCCTGGGAGAGGGCGGAGTGACGGGTGCACACGAGCGTGATCACCGGAGACGGGGCCGATGAGCTACTGGGGGGGTAAGTGCACTTCTGAGAGTCCGCTCAAACTCATTTGTCGTTTAAGAGACTTCGATCATGTTTGAAAGGACGTTGGTTGACTTTCAAACCTGGGGGAGGGCGCAGTGACGGGGCCACACGAGCGTGTTTAACAGGGCGGCGACAGGGCCGGTGAGCTGCTGGAGGGGGTGAGCAATTCGCATTGTTTACTGTTTTGTGAATCTGAGCTTTGTTGGGTTTAACAGCTCTTCTTGTCTCAAAGTATTTGATCTTTTTAAACCCCCGAGTGTCACAGGTTTTGCCGAACTGGGCACACCTTTCAGGAAACCCTCCCGCAATCACTAGCGACGAGGCCTATGAGCTACTGGGGGGGGGGGGTAATTTGCTGAGAATCCGCTCGAGGTCGGTTTTGTATACAGCACTGCTTTTCAAGATGTTTCCTATCGCGCCATCGCCAAGTCAGACAGAAGGTTGCGGAATATGCACAGCGTACATAACGGATCATTGCAAACATCTTAACAGTTGTGTTGAAATAGCAGAATTTCGACCAAATTCCGAAAAGGTGCTCTTCAATACGCTGCTTTGTTACAAGTCGGATCCAGACCGTCTTAAAGAAGGCACGCCCTCAGGCATCCTCTCCCCATCATTTCCTGGCTGCCTCCTACTCCCATTTCTGACGTAAATCAGCGAGTCATAGCAACGTTTTGACGCATGCTGCACACAAAATCATGTTTGCATGAGTGCAAAGGTGCCCAGGAATGCTGCGCACTCAGATCTTTCACGTAAATTAACGGATACCTCTCGCCTATCAGGTACTCGTTCACGCACGGCCTCTCCCCCGAAAAGTTCGCCGAGTACCGTACCCATCTGCGCTCCGTCATGCGCTTCTCCGCAGTGCCGCTCGGCGCGGCGCTCGGGATCGAAGTCCGACAGCCGTACCTCTTCCCGAAATTCGTCGATCATGCGCTCGCCAGTCTGGCGCGGGAAGATCTAGTGGGCCCGGTTCCGGCGGACCTGCTGACGGAGAGCGTCTGGAGCGGAATTGAGCGGACTTGCCGGGCGGAAGACTTGGGAAGGCTGGGCGGGGAAACCGTGCACGGGAAGTTGGCGTTAAGGGAAGCGTTCCCCGGAGTCTATGCGGCGTGGCGCAGCAAGGACCCAATCGAGGTGCGCTTATGATCGTATTTCGGAGTAACAAGCGCGGGTAGCGATTTTTGACGACCTGTTGGAAAACCTGTGCGCTGATGATACTTGCTCTCCCGTTTCTTCGTTGGCAACTTGAGGCGTCTGCTGCTTATTGAGTGATTCACGCCAGTTGCGATTGCATTTGACTGGTTCAGAATCCGGCTCTTAGAACCCCACCAGCAATCAGTACGCGACAGATTCCCAAACGTTTTCGTGACCGCTTATTTGACAGAACCGTCACACCACCTTCAGGCGCACTTACCTGGATCATAACCGACACACTTGCGTAGAAGAGGGCTCATTGAGACACCATCCAATCCTAGGGTTGTGCCTTTCTTTTTTCCTAATGAATCTGCCCTAAATCTGGCCACACACAGCTCGTCGGATGAAGCCTGCAGACTGGCATACCGTGTTGGAGCAGAAGAGACTTTTTGTCTCTTGCCACTGTATGTTATGACCGCTCGAGGGCCCCTCAAGCTCGTTTTTAAATACCATAAATTCCTGGTGAACCGCTCATCATTGTTCGTCGTTTTGCAGGTCGGGTGTGGCACCACCGTCCTCCCCGCCCGCTTCAAAGAGGCCCTGTCCGACGCCGAGTTAGCGGCCGCCCAGAAAAAGATACTCGCACAAGACCAGGTAAGGATCCGGAACGCGGAGCACTTGCACTACTACAGGGCCTTTCGGACGGTCTTCGGACCGGGGGGCCCGCCCGAAATGGTCCGGTGGGGTGCGGACCCGTGCGTCGCGTGCGGGTATGAGCTCCAGCAACCGAGCCAGATGTTTTGCGTGGTGTGCGGGGAGTATCCGGCCAGGAAAGCGGCGGGGGGGGTGAAAAGCGCCGGGGGCCAGGGGGGGGAGAGGAAGAGAAGCAAGGGGGGGGCTTGCAGAGTGGTGAGGGGGTGGCCACGGGGGAGGGAAAAAGTGGCGGGATTGGGGAGGGGAATGAGGGGGAAAAGGAGGAAGGGGGAATGCGGATTGGAGGGGAGAGTGCGGCAACGGGCGACGATCAGCCGAGTACAAGTGGGTGGGGACAAGAAAGCTTGGGAAATGAGGGGGGTGCCAGCGGCATGGTCGAAAGGAAAACTCCGAACGAGGGGAAGGAGACGGTAGGGGCGAGTGGGCAGCAGGTACTTGCTACTGCCGTTTCGGTCCTTGGGGAAGAGAAAGGGAACAGCGCTTTGGAGAGGGGGGCAGTGTTCGGTGGGCGGAACGAAAGCCCAAGGTTGCTAGCAACTGTTTCAGGGACGTCGTCGTCTGCGGACTCGAACGAAGATTATGCGTCGGCTGATGAGTGCTTCGACGAGTCGGACATTTGAGGAGTCGCAGGTGGAGAAAGTGGGTATGTGAATTTGTCAATCTACTGTGGAACCGGCCCGTTATTAGTCTCTTTGATGTGTCGACTCCGGTTGGTGGTTCGTGTCCCTGATCCCTCTCAGATCGCGAGTCTTCCGATTGATCTCATAGCCTTCCGTCTTATTAGAGCCGGAACACGGATATGTGCACGTATTAGGGGTGCTGAATACAGGTTAGAAAGCTCGATTGAACGTTGCATTCTTGACCGCCTAGCATCCACGGTTCACCTGATTATCGCACGGCATGCCACCGTGTGCTTCAACATCGTCCAAGTCGTTTCTTGAGTTTAACAAAATGTAAGATACCAGATTTCCACTCCGTTGACTTGCTCAATGGCTCGTTACTTTTCCTCCCATCTGCAAGGCGGCATGGTTCCTGTGCACACGTAGTCCAGCGGCAAAGATCAGTTGATTAGCAATGCGGGATCACTGCCGACACAGGCTATGGATCATGAGGATCATGATGGCAGCGCAGCCTACCTACGGTAGTCCAGACTCTTTGAAAACTAATTATTCCAGACATCGAATCGGGCCGCCCGAAGCAGCAACATACTGTAGACGTAGGTATGGCCGCCGCCCTTGTTTGTAGTACCGTACCTACCAGATGATACGGTATGTACATGTGACGTCTGCCATGCGGCGTGGAATGATAGTGAGTGAAACGCCTTTCGTATACGAACTTGCGTCCATGGAAAACGTGCACGCAGCACGTCGGATGATGAAAGCGTCGGCATCATTGCACCCGGATGTCATAAGCGTCATCATTGCACGTCGGATGTCGAAAGCGTCATTCCTTACACGTGGCAC